AAGATGCACACAGACACTAACAGTCCTATGTACACACATAAATAAAAGCCATGGCACATAAACACAATTAGGAGTAACCATCATTGTTGGTATTTAATGCTGGAGGAAAGACCAGTGTTATGCAATATTTAAACTCTGTGTATATCAATAGCTGCAAACACAAAAACTGTCTCAGGAACACACACATTATCCCCACTAAGCACATTCCCTGCTGTGGGGGTCTTTTAAAAAGCAATGAACCCAAGCTTGTTTTTTGTCAAAATGCCGATGCTACATCTTAAACAAGTTAAGCTCGTGGGAATGCACCAGTGATAACAACATTGCAGCACTGTAAATTCTTACATTATCACCGAGAGGCAATATAAGAAGGGAATGGTTTTATTATCCAGATTCCCAGGGATATTAGATAGGGCACTTCACACACTGCAAGCAAGGCATAAAGCAGTAAAACCATAGGAAGGAAAGAAATGGACACTTCAGTGGACCAATCCATTTCCGTACAGAATGTGTAAACACTGTCGTCATTCTGCTAGCCTTGTTTAGGAAATGATTTAACTGAGTTTAGAGGAGGAGTTGCTTAGTTTGCTTCTGTTTACACACTCAAGATCTACATTTTAAAATGCAATAAAGTTAGGAAAGTTCCATAATGCTTCTTTTCTATTATTAACAAATGACTGTTTGCTAAACTCCATCTCTAAATAGCAGGTCCCCAAACACAGCGTAGCATTCATAACTTGGTAAGGCAGGCCTGTTAGGCTTTAGATTCATCCACATTTCAGCGGTGTGCATGGTGCTGTACTAAGAGCGACACTCAACAAACATCGAGAGTCCAGATGCTTAAGTCTATTGACTTCTGAAATCAAAAATGAGAAATATAACAAATGGATTGATTGTCTGCTCTAACACAAGTTGCAAACGTTAGCAAGCCTGTCTAACTTCACTAAGCACATATTTACAACCCTTTTTACATGGTTTGTGTTTAGCACGTCAGCTGTAAACTTTAAAAACATCAGCCCGAGACAATGTTCACAACTCAAAATCTGCAAGCTACAGTTAATACTGGCAAAACTGACAGTCAGTGGCTAGAAAGAAGATGCCTGCTTTTGTCTGGCTATTTCTGAAAGCAAGGTCCCACTGCTTAAAAAATTATTATGATTTTCTAGTTGGTCAATCTGCCAATGTAAAATGTTAGAATGGAAAGCTTGACAGGCCTATCAACAGTTATTTCTATGTAATAAATGCTTTATTGGCCCCACAATTTCCTGCAAATGTCCTGTAAAATCTTCTCAAAAGCTCCCTAATTAGCTGGTATTGAACAGTTAATTCTGAGCATATTTCCAAGCCTGCATAAGTATCTGCTTGCTATATTTAGGTTAAGAAAACTAGAAAATTAAGACACAGGAAAGTAAACGGATAGCTGATAAACAGATGCCAGTTGGAGTATCCTAAAGTTGCTAGAAAAATTGATAGCAAATGTTTTTTCATTTTGAAAACAATATTCCAATATTCTTACGCAGTTAGCTGTTCTGTTTAGTCTAAGAAACTCCAGTGATGGTTGACATCACTGAATTATTTTTCACTTGTAGCATCTTCTAGTGAAAGGGCAGCTAATAACTTTAGCAACCTCTTTGGAAATATCCTAGTAATTAACAAATTCCAGCTAATTTTTAGGTTAGCATGAGGAAAGTTTCCACAAAATGTGTTGAAAAATATCACACTCAAAGCGTAAACTGTTACTATTAGCCACTGCTCAATGAGTATTAAAATTATTTCTTGTTTTTTGTTTTAAAAGAATCCATTTCGTTCAGTTGAAGCTTTAGAGAACTCAGCAGAAGGAGGTAAAGACAGAATGAATGAACTCAACTGGTACCTACAGGCGTCTTATTGGCAGTAACCTATAAAAGAAGTAGATGCAACAAATCATACAAGTGACATAAAAAAACAATCTTTAGGCCTATAGGATTTTCAGAAATACTTGCAATTTATTTATTTGCACAGACAAAAAGATTTGTATGGAAAGTTTTCAAAACAAGAGTGTCATTCATCTTATACTGCAATAACTCTGTTGACTTTTAATCTCACCTCTTCCACATCGTTATCCAGTGCTATGATGACCAGTGGTGCAGACAGACTAGCATTAGCTGCTATGGTGGTTCCCACTGGTGATGCTTCACTGACATAGCCCTGGTAACTGGCCTCCAGGAAATAGGGCGCCTGGTTGTTTTTATCCAGAATTTCAATTTGGAGGTTTGCGAACGCTGGCAGAGGGTGACCATTGTCCTGTTCTGCCTAAAGGTAGAGAAAATAATTGTTCATTTTGGCTGTGATCCTTCACCTTCAGTACTCCACTAGTCACTAATCCTGCCAGTGAAGTATATTTAATGGCAGTTCTTCATTTAATATAAATCAGAATATGGTCAGAGTTCTGACAAAGGCTATGATGTTACTCATACCAGTTCAATATTTTGGCTTTAATAACTGGGAAAAAAACACAACTAAAAACACTCCTATGGAGTAGAGTGTGGATACTCAAATCAAGCCCGACAGGACCTGTCAGTACCCAAAGTTTCAGGCTGGATTTGTACTTTAATCTTTGTTTAATAAGGGAAAAACACTCTATAAACTCAACTGTGTTGACTTGAGATGGCTTTGGACATTATATGCTACAAGCTTGTTAGGTCCAGGTCAGGTTCAGATGCCCCACACTGGGACATGGGTTTGGACAGAAATATGTGGCCCAATCCATGCTCTACATCAGAGTAGGACTACTGCTACAAAGTTGCTAACAGAAGACAGGCTTTAGTACAAATTCTTTTTCTGTAAAAAGCTGCAAGTTTATTGAAAACCCACTCATATTGTTTTAACTGTGTACAATTACCTTCATCAGCCCTTTGCAGTCTTTTTTTTTAAATTCCCTATAATGAAGCCATGTATCCAGTTGTCAGGTTTGCCCGACAACTTTGAGGACACCATACGGGAGGCGCAGCAACAGGAACCCGATCCAGGGGATGGGCCACCAGATATACGTCCCCCTGGCTGCTAGGGCCCAGACCCTTGACTGGGCCCATGCCTCACGGCTAGCATGCCATCCAGGGGTACAACGCACCATTTCCCTCCTAAAACGCTACTTCTGGTGGCCCACCCTAGAAAAAGACGCCAGGGAGTACGTAGCCGCCTGTGCCCCCTGTGCGCAATCCAAACCACTCCACCAGTCCCCTGCGGGTCTTCTTTGGCTGCTGAGTACGCCTAGTCGGCCCTGGTCTCATATAGCCCTTGACTTTGTTACCGGCCTGCCTCCCTCACACGGCAACACGGTCATTCTCACCATCGTCGACCGTTTCTCCAAAGCCGCCCATTTCCTTGTCCTTCCACAACTCCCCTCTGCTCTAGAAACCGCCCAGCTCCTGGTTCAGCATGTTTTTCATATTCACGGCACCCCCATCACTATCGTTTCTGACCGTGGTCCCCAATTCACCTCTCACGTCTGGTCTGCTTTTTGCACTGCCCT